GTGTACGTCTGGACGCCTATAAGTGCACTTCAGGGCAACTCTTGGCGGCAATCGATCGGCTCTTAAACGATAGGGAATTACACGAAAGACTGGCTATAATTGCGGACAGAATTAAAAGGGATAACAGTATCGCAAAGTTTCCACAATTGATTGAAAGCATTGTTTTCAAAAAGTAAATTGTCTTTAATTTACTTTACAATAATATTATATTTATATAAAATGACAATAAAGTCACGTTGATTTAATAATTATTTTAATTTAAACAATAAAACAACCATTAAGGCAAGCCTTTGTTAATTTAATGAGTATAATAAATGATTTAATTAAAAATTTTTAAAAATAAACAAGATAAATGGTTTAACGTTATAAACTTTTAATACAAAGTTCACATAACCAAACGATCTTATAATTTATAAGTTATAAATAACATTTTAAAAGTTGTGATTAAAAATAGGTTTCTCGACTATATATTGTATTATCATCATGATACTGTAATTATAATTATAAATTAGTCATTTTAATTATAGGTTTTGAAAACACACGCTCTCAATTATTACGATTGGTAATTGTAACCATTACATGTTTAGGGGTTAAAAATACAGATCCATTGAAATAATCAATCTGTAAAGTAATAATAATATGAATGTATTTAAATTAAAAGGAACTAGCACAAATATCAATCAAAGTTATGACCACTCACTTCAAATCCAGGCGCGGGTGTGAACTCAAATCGGTGTACAATCTTTGCGATACACATTCGCATCTCATTTAAGGCAAACCTCATACCAATGCATTGTCGAGGGCCGCACCCGAAGGGCAGGTATGCGTACGGATGGTGTGTAGGTTTCAGAAACCTTTCGGGTTTGAATTGATCAGGGTCGGGAAAAAGATCGGGGTCCCTATGTATAACATAGGGCTGAAATTCTACAAATGTGCCTGCCGGAATTGTTATACCTGTTGAAATAATTACAAAAATCATAATTGATATCATATGTTAAGTTATAGCGAATGATTTTGTATTAATTTAATAAACACAAGATTTACATTGTTTACTCGTTCTCTAGTTTACTAAATAAGATAATAGACAATAACTTTTTTCTAAGCCTACCGGTATTTCCCAATTTATAATCGCGAACGCATTCTCTTTGAATAGTACCTAAAGGGGGCGCAAGTCTAAGGGTCTCATCGATGACTGCATTCAAATACTGGCATTGATTTAGGTTTTCATACGTGAAGTCTGTGTCCAAAGCGTTGAGTTCTTCCCTCAGAATCTGTTGTTTGTCTTTGTTTTGAGACAAATAATAGACGACATGAGAGAGCGAAGCGC